CCTCAGCACCACATAAGCAAAAAGAAAAAAGCCAGAAGTGGCACTGTGGCTCAAGTGGTAGAGAGCTAGCCTTGAGCTGAAGAGCTGAGGGACAGTGCTCAGGCCCAGAATTCAGGCCCCATGACCAGACCAAAAAAAAAAAATCTACCAGGATCCACAAATACCCCCAAGTGAACATTTTTTTTTTGCCAGTCCTGGGAATTGAATTCAGGGCCTGTGCACTGTACCTCAGCTTTTTTGCCCCCAAAGCTGGTGCTGTACCATTTGAGCCATAGCTTCAGCCCCACTTCTGGCTTCTTGGTGGTTCATTGGAGATAAGAGTTCATGGACTTTTTGCCCGGGATGGCTTCATACTACAATCTTCAGATCTCAGCCTCCTGAGTAGCGAGGGTTACAGGCATGAGACACTGGCACCTGGCTTCCAGATGAACTTTTTATAATCACCATCTATAGGAATACTCGTTGTGGGTCAATAGTCTTGGAGCAACTATACCCAGACAGGAGTGGTCTCCAGTGCTCTAATTCTAAAACTATTAACTGGGGTGATAGCCATCCTGATCCAAGCTCCTCCACTCAGAAATCATGTTAAGCAGATTGGGATTCCTAAGGTTTGATGGAAACATTGGGGTTTCTTGGCTGCACAGAAGGTTTACCTTCTTGGGATTGTCGCACTGAAATGTGGCCTGTATCCACAGAGGTATTCTTTGAGTAAGCAACTATACCCAGGCCTACCTCTCAACAAGTCGCTCTTTACCTTCTAGGTCCGGGTACTTCCATATCCATTCACCCACCATCAGCAATTTGAAAGGACTATCCAGAACCCCATAGGATCCACGTGGAACACACAGAGGGCAGTCCAAAAATTGACCACTCCCAAGGTTATCACCAAGCCAGGCCATATCATCAAGCCCATAAAGGCAGAGGATGTAGGCTACTGCTCTTCAAAGTCCGATCTTTCTGTCATACAGAACAATGGAAAACAACTCTCTAGACATCAACAAAAAAAGCTGAAGAAAAACTCAGATTGATTTGCCAGGAATGACATCTTGGTGGCCATAACTGGGAGCCCTGATATCTTTGGTTGCTCTTTGCTATAAGATCAATTTCAAAATAGGCTTAGTACAATGGTGTAGTTAAGCCACATTTTAAAAATAAAGTCATTTTTATCTATTTAATTTGACTGTACTCTGTGTTACATCCCTGTTGAGTCATTTTCTTCATGACAGACACCTATGGGTGCCCCAGCTTTGCAATCTTCTAGTTGGTATTTTGTGAGGGAAATTTCATTTCCTTACCAAGATCCTTAGAGGGGATGAATTTTACTCTTACGCATGTCACATATCATACATGATCCACCATAAATAAGTGTCAGGAATAGTGATGAAGTGAATTTTAAGCAAACTCTAAGCCTAGAAACAAGAATGGGATGTACAAACCATATAGTTGGGGTTCTGTCCTAGAGTGCTCCTAAGATTCAGATGGTTCCGAAGCCTAAGTTCCAGTCTCATGGCTAGCTATAGTCATCTCTGCATTTGTGAGCTTTTCAGCAAGTTCAAGTTGCTGTCTGGAATATCATTTTCACATTCTTTCACCTCTAATGAGGTAGGCTTTATTTTTCCTTTTCATATACAGTAGATGCAGTTCCAAAAGTAAACCTGTTTCCTTTCCTTCCTAACTCAAGACTAACTCCTCACCGAATTCAAACTATATAGTTAATTCAAGCAGTACTTGGGTTAATATGGGCTCAACTCTGAGGATCTTGCCTTTCTTTGTATCTCAAGAAATGAATGGAGGGCTCAGTAGTAGTAGAGCATTTGGAGTTTCATCCCCAGCACTACAAAAAAAAATGCATGGAAAGATTCCCCTGTATGTAGCTAAGATGCCTAACAAGGAAATTCCAGTATCTTCCAAAAGGACATAACACCCAGGGGACTTTGTTTTCTGTCTTAAAGGGTCACACAAACAGCCCTTTTGAACCAAACCAGCTTAATTTTTGTGTGACAGGGCCCCTCGGTTTTTATTGTTGCTGGTGTTTTTTTTCCCCCAGGACTGAGACTTGAACTATGGGCCTCTTTGCTCTTCCTTGGCTTTTTCCCCTTCAAGTCACCACTCTACCACTTGAGTCATACCTCCAGTTCTTCCTCTGAGACTTTGTTGAACATTATGAACCCTCAGAAAAATTACACAAGTATACACTTCTTTACATAGTTTCAGTTTTAAAGATATTTGAAATCCCTGGGTTTAAAGCTACCACTCCATGTTTGTTTGTTTTTTTGTCGGTCATGGGGCTTGAACTCCAGGCCTGGGCGCTGTCCCTCAGCTCTTCAGCCCAAGGCGAGCACTCTACCACTTGAGCTACCGCACCCCTTTCGGTTTTCTGGTGGTTTATTGGAAATAGGAGTGTCACGGTCTCTCCTGCTCGGGCTGGCTTTGAACCGCGATCCTAAGATCTCAGCATCCTGAATAGCTAGGATTACAGGCGTGAGCCACCAGCGCCCGGCCACTCCATGTTTTTTTGTAAACCACCCTTGTGGCCCTCTGTCAAACAAAACTCTTCAAATCAGTTCCAAAATGTTCTACCTCAAAAGCTAGTGTATCAAACACCACACAGCCAATTAGTAACTAGGACCTTAGGGTAACTCTGAAACCAAAAGCCACACAATACATTTTCACAAATTTCTCAATAGTAGCTGTGTGGGTCCCTATTCTGATCATCCTCAGGAAGTACCTTGGGCAGGCTGTGAAGGGAAGTGAATGGTGAGCAGTGTTCAGTGCCCAAAAGGCATTTTTAAATTAGCCACTGACTTGAGAGTATCCACGATCTGCTTGCTGGATGACAAGTAGCCAGTGGTGGGGACCGAGAAGCTCTTGCCTACTCCAGCCTCTGTTTAAGAGTCGTCAATGTTCTTTCACTCTGAATACAAAGCTGCCACCTCTGTCCAACCCACCCCCAAACTGAAGTGCTCAATCTGCCCCTAATAAACGGCCAGTTCCCCCCACCCCACCCCAGCTACTTTCCCTGGGACTCTCCTGAGCTCCGTTTGCTCCTCAGTACCTAGAAGTGATGCAAACGACCCCATCCTTCAAAGGGGGAAGCAGGCACCCGAACGTGCTATAAACGACGCCCACTCCCAGACTACCAAGCCCCCAAATGGATTCGATTGTTGTTTCGTGGGGCTTTTTTTTTCTTTTCTTCCTCTGAACCTCCGAAGTGTTCTCCCTTCCCATTGGCCGAAACTGCCCCTTGACGCCACCCTGGTCTTGCTCGCTGATTGGTCCGTTCTGGATGTGCCCAAGCCTTTTTCCCAGGGTGTGGCGCCCCCCCTCCCGCCCCCAACAGGGTTCTGACCCTTGGCTCCTCCCTTCCCCCTAAGCCCCCCTCTCCGTTCGGAATGGTACCGCCCTGGCTCGGCTCCCCCTCCGCCCAGGCCGCTGCCCTGAGGGCCCCCGGACGGGGCGGGGCACGCTGGGGACGGGCAGAGGGCGGTGGTGGCGCCTTCCTGCTGAGCCCGAGGCCGCCTCCGCCACCCTTCTACCGCTCTTATAGGTCCCACTTTCCCCTGGGAGGTTTCCGTCTTGCACTGATAGCCCCGTCCCGTCGGTGCAGCCCCCACTTGTCTTTTAGTCATCCCGAAGACAACGTTAAATCCCAGCCCTCCGAGCTCCACACACGCCCATCAACCTCCACCCTTGGGTTCTCGCCGCACTCCTTTTTCCCATGTCTGCTCACTCTTCCCCCTTTCTAGCGGACTGTCCATCCCCAGGACCCCACTGCCCGAGTGTAGCCAGTCTTCCCCGCGGCCTCCGTTCCCTTCCTGGCCAGCGTGGTGGAGCCCTCCCGCACCCTCCCTTTCGCCATACCCCTGCGCTCCCTTATGTTGTCCCTTCACGTCTCTCTCTTAAGTCCCTCCCACCCCTTGCCCCCCCAACACACACCCCTCCCTCCGAGGCGTCCCCCGGCTCCCCTCCCCTACCCTGCTAGCCTATGCCCCTCCCACCCACCCCGTCCTTTTGTCTCCTCTTTGGTCTCTAAGTCCCCCGCCCCTCCCTCACTCCCGCCCTCGCTCCCTAAGAGCACGCTCTTATCTTCTCCAGGTCCCGGCGCTCCACCCCCTGGCCGCGCCCCGCAGGCCCCCTCCCTTCCGCAGCCCCATCTCCGCCCTCAGTGCTCCGCCCTCCCCCGCGCGGCTCGGGCCCGCCAGCCGGGCCCGACCTCCCTCAATCCCGGCTTGCTCCTCCCTCCGGTGCCGCTGCTACTCCAGGACCCACCCTTCCCGGACCAGCGGCTCTCGCTCCCGCGCGTTCTCTCCACACGCGCACTCCCTCCTCCTTGCTTTGCTCCCTCGCTCTCCCGCCCAGGCCCTGCAGCAGCCCGGTCGGGCCCCGAGCTGCGTATGGCCCGCCCTCGAGGGGAGCTTTGCCTCCCGCGGCCTCGGGCACCTCACGGGCAGTCACTGGCCCAGAGAACACAAATTGGGCTTCACCGGGCGGTTCCCGCACTGCCCAACCTTTGGAAGCCTCCCAGGCCTCAGGCACCCGTCGGAAGTGTTTGGGCGTCTGGCCAGTCACAGTCCCCAGTGAGACTCGGGCCTGGATGGCATTGCCCAGGGAAGATGCAGCCAGCAGACCACCCTTGAGCCTCCTCCTGGTTAGCCCCAAACCTGTACTCACCACGCAGCACGCAACTAAGTCTAGTGGGGCGGTGTCCCCAAATGCAGTACCAAGTGCAGTACCTGAGCTCTGACCTTTCATGTGTGAAGTGATGAGGGCCAGTAGCGCTCCACGGCCACTGCCACTCTGGGACAGAGTGCAGTCCAAGCCTCGACCTCTGCCTCCTTGTCTGATTCTCGCCACCTCACCGTGAGCACAAAGCAATGCTTGCTTCCCTGACCCTTAGTAAATCAAATCAACCCTGCAGGTGACGAGAGGATATTAACCCTCGACCCCAGATATTGGGCATGGCCAAAGTAGACAGAAAACCTAGTCACATGCCAACAAGCACTTAAGTAAAAAAAAAAAAAGTAGGTCTGTTGCATGATGCTCACCTTGATAGTGTTTCCTCACCTTCACTTCTACCAGACTTTTTACTCACTTTTTTACTCACCAGACTGGAAGCTCTTTGAAGGGGGCCTTGTTTGTCGCCCTGGCTCACTCAGTGGATCCCTTGTGATTGACTGATAAACGGATGTATTTGTTAAGTTCCCACCTTTGGGATCTAGTCATTATTGTGTGAGTTAAAATTTGTAAAATCTCCAGAGCCACCACCTGTTAAGGATTACTACTCCTGCCAGGCACAGCATGATGCCCAAAGCGATGGATCATCAATGCTTTTTCAAAGTGATGTAAGTAATTATGCACGAGGCAGAGGCCTACCTCTTGCTCCCCAGAATTCTCATTTCCCGGGCTGCACATCCTGACTGAGGAAGAAATTTAAGTTGCTGCCTAAGCTCATCCCCAACTGAACACTGATTTGCTGATGTCAGGTATGGCTGCAGTCACCATGAGAACACAATGGGTGATCTGACTATCCAGTACTGAGAGTGCATTTGCAGGGAGCCATAAATGCTGGACTTTAACTCCAGTTTGCAAATGGGGCTGAAAGGAAATAGAATTTTCTCGCTGTGAAACACGTCCCATATAAGGATCAAACCTGTAGATCCTCATCTACTTTGCCCCAAGGTCAAGCCGAACCCCGATCTGTCAGAAGACGGAGGCTGCAAACTGGAATTCATCAACAGCAATTACCCTAGGGGAGGAGGGATGGTGAAAGGCCTCCTTCCTCCCATTTATGGATGCAAGAGTCACCCTGTACTTGGAAGCAGCTAATGTGTAACCTGGTCACTTTAGGGTTAGTGCAGCTTCCTGCCCATCTCTTAACCCCGCCCCCAGCCAGACAGTCTTCTCTGTCCTTCTTCAGCCCTACACTGTCTTCACTCAAGCCAGCCGGCTCTAAATGGACATGGTCACTGATCCAAGCACAAACTGCAACAGTAACAATCAGACAGTGTCAAGAGACTCCAGCAGAGATGCCTCTGAGGGCCCAGCCTCCTCCTCTGCCTTGGCACAGATGTTCTTATTGTCCTGGATAGAAATACCAGCTTGAGGGGGGACACTTCAGGGCTTACTTAATCCCCAAGGTCAGAGTTGCCTGCCTAGGGCCAGTTTGTCT